TTGAGAATCTAGTTTGCGAAAGGACATCAGTTGAGCCTGAACATACCTTAGGCAGGAAACTGTCTGTTATTTATATAAGGACGGAATATCAATCTGAGGCGCTTGAAGTTATCACGGTGCGCTAAAGGCCGTGACTTGGAAGGTTGTCAACTGACGGGATAACTTAGACCACACATTCGGCCCAGTGTGTGTTTCTGTAGAGCGGCTGACTGATGGTCTGAGAGTCAGGCTGCAATGGTTCCTTCTTAATGTGGCATTTATCACACACTCCGTGGGATCCGAGCCGGGTGTGACGGCACGCCTGGGTGTGGCTTCGGCCCTACCCGCCCCTTTTGTTGTTGATTAAAATCGTGGTCCTTTGCTGCGGGACCAGTGAGTGTGGAGTGGAGCGACAAGGTACAGCACGACCGTGCCATCTACCTGCGCCCTCCCCTGTCTCCGGTCTTCTTGAATATGTCTTGACACCGGGTCCAGGAGGGGAGGAGAGAGTAAGGTAGATGCGGCGAAAGTCTATATTCACTGTGAACTAAATCACGCGAAAGTCACCGTGCTGGCCTCACCTTGCTGTGGAGCACACGATGGACATCGTCGACAACGACGGTCGAACTACAGCTGGACAAAGTCGAGAGAACTGCAGACGTAGTTGATAGAGGCAAGCAGCTCGTCTACCCGTCTCACACCTAAGCTAATTCCTTAACCGAGTTTTCCAGAGGGGCTTTCGGACTTTACATGCGAGCGCCATTAAGGCTACATTACGAAAAAGCCAACATATGACCCTCCGTCCTGACGAGGATTTCACACTGACAGTTTTAAAGTGCGTTCGGTTACTTAGGATAAGTTATGAGCCTTATTCCGGCTGGATCGATCTACGTCTCTTTTTCTCGTATGAAGTCTGTCCGAACCAGGCTGATTGGGAAGGAAATTTGACATAGAGACTGACGTGACGCAAAGTGGGAGGCTTCACAAAGGTTACGTTGGACGGCACTGCAGTCTGAACGTCATTCCAAACAAATTAGTTACGTAACTCAGGTGGTACCGACAAAGACGAGACCGGAATGGCCATTTCTGGCTTATTAGCCGTCATCAGCCACCTGATATAGATCATTCTACTAGTCGCTGTGCAACTGCCTGCAAGGGTTCTAGTATGAGCCCCAAGGCACAACGGAACGAGCATGTTCCGTAACCTGAACGGTGAGCGCCCACTCTCATAAGTTAGTTACGTCTTCATCTGGTAACTTTTCGGGCCACGGCAAGTAGCGCGTCATTATTGACTGGAATACTTCAGACTGATCAGCGAGAAAGGCACTGTGCTTGCGTGGGGCAGGGCACCTCGGCACTCGGTCCACTCTTATACACCTGTGGGCTTTCCGAACCTGTCGGCCGAATAAACGCAGCGGTTGAAATAACAGCATGTGCAGCAATAGTTAGGGACTCATACAAACTCAGCCTGAATTCTCCAAGAGATAGAAGCGCTAGTGTTCGCAGCTTGCGGAACAATACTACGTGGGCGGTACCATCGCCTTCTTCAAGCGCGCTCCCAAACTCCGTTTTTGCTGACGCATAGCTTATAACGGAGGAGGACAACAATTAGCTAATGTTCCAAGATGTCCTAATTCAAAAGTGGGTCAGCGGGAGTCCGAACGCGATGGCAAACAAGACGGTCAACAACGCAGACGCCGGAGACAACCAAGAAGCGGCCTCGATTCTAACGGAGATAAAGTGTTGCGGAAATTCTATTTCCTGTCTTACGTTCAAGAAATTTCAGAAACAATCTCCCGACAAGCAAAGCGCTTTGGCATCTCCCTCGCAAGTCCGCATCCTCCCTACGCGCAACATATGGCCCAGTAAAGGACCTAATATCCAAAGTGCATTCAGCTGGTGTCATTTACAGCATCTCGTGCACTAACTACTCTTGTGTTTATATTGGCCATACAGGTCTACGTCTGGGGACCCGCACTAAAGAGCATAAATTAACCCTCCGCCGACGTGCCCCCTTCTACCTCGTGCTTGCGCACGTCCTCGCGTGTGACCGCCAGGCGATCTCGGGAATCATTGTTATATTGCCGTGCGTCCCAATGTCCATGACGTGATTATGCTTGGACGGTGTCGCATAGGCACAGATGATCAAGAAAAGACTGAATTATTACCATAACACAATGCTAGTCAGACGTGCGTACAAGGCGCATCTATTTTTGCTTTTGGACGGGTTTTAAGTCACTGCTACTGACACAAAACAAGTTATCAAGCGGTGAGAGGGCTACGAAGTCCTCTAGCATAACCATGGAAGCAATTATAAATGCGTACGTTTTTGCGAAACTGAACTCTTCGGCAGTGAGATGAGGTTCTTCGGTGCGCGGTCGCAACCGCTCTTCGGCCATGATATGCTCAGGATATTGCTGAATCTGGAACGGAAGTCATGAGATATAAACTAGTAGGGATACGGGAGAAAATATAATTTCTGCTGGCAAACAGACACACCCTCTGCAGGCAATACAACGAGTCACATGCGTAGCAATCTACAGGTCATAGTATAACCTAGAAATTGGACCTTTGAACGAACCTGCTCAATTGCGAAACGACTGACAATTCGACCGTCGTTTCCGGCGACGCCCACCGTCAGCTCCACAGCGGCGAGCAGGGACGGTGACTTGCGCTTGATTTGTTTTACAGTGGCGGCAGACAAGGCAGCCATCCAAGCCACGGTTTCTAGCGCACCATTATAGTCTCCGGCACGCCAGATTGTTTGCAGTGAGGAATATGCGCTGAGACCGTTGACTTTTCTCTTTCCACTCTCGGGAACCAGTCCGCGGTTCGATTGTCTGATGCGGAGAGTGGGCGCAGTGGCTGACAGCGTTAGAGCCCATCTGCGAGCACCACATACACGACCTGGCCTTGCAAACCCACAAGCCAGAATTACACACAAAAGGTGGTAGGCGGATAGGATCCAACATGTGTGAGAATGTCATTAAGGAGCCATCGCGTCCTGACTCAGTCCACCACTTGTACTTAGTACGGCTCGTCCTCCGCGCGCATGGCCCAGCATCCACAATTATAGAGGACAGACCGGGCGGATGCACGGTACACGCGAATCTTAGTAGCGATTGAGGTTTCGCGCCGGATCAATAGGCATTTTCTAAGGCTTGAGAAGACCCGACCGGTAGCATTAATTCGGGAGATGTCGACCTTACTCTGCCTATTTCGCGGCAGTCTCGCCCCGAGGTATTTAAAACTGTCTTCTTCTCCAAGTTGACAGTTATCAACCCTGTGAGGTGTCTTCTCCTGGTCAGGGATCAAGTTTGAAAACACTTCGCACAGTTTATGGATAAACCGACCGATTAAGTAACCTCATTTACCTGTGACGCCATAGACTGCAGATAGCCAAAACTTGAGGCTAGGCAATATCATCGGTATAATTGAGATCAATCAGTCGGTTTCCGAGTGTAAACTCAACACCGTCACTTTCGTGTAGAGCCCTCCCGGGAATGCGGTCAATAGCGTAGTTGAACAGAATGGGCAGCAGGATACAACCCTCTTGAACGCTAGACCAAATGTCGAACGGTCGGGAAAGATTGTTATGGACCAGAACTCGAGCAGTGGTGGAGATGTAATAGGCCTTGATCATGGCGATGATTTTTTTGGCAATACACCATCTAGTGCCATTATCCGCAACAGGGGCCAACGATGGACGGAATCGAACGCAACGACAAAACCAATAAGGCAGACGGCCGTTGGTAGCTGTGAGCTATGCTGAAATTCAAAAATGCGTCTCAGCGTGAGAACCTGGTTCGCACATCCACGTCTGGCACCAAATCCGGCTCGGTTGGGCCTCGTCCTAGAGCCATGCACAGCCTGGAATCACCTGCGAAGAACAATGGCGAAGATCTTCGCAGCAACGTCAATGAGGCTTATGCCGCGGTAGTTCTGGCACCTTGCCCACCAGTGGGCAATTTAAAGCGCAAACACACACTGGGCTGACTCTGTGATCTGACTTAAATCGTCAGCAACCTCCTAAGTCCCACCTTTTATCGCACTATGGTAGTTTCACGCGTGTCAGTTTGTTTATAGTGATTAATTATGCGCTGAGATTCGACATTACTCGCTCTATCCTTTACCGTGCAGCAGTTAATTGTCCAAGCCGGCCAACTAACTGATGCTGAGATTTGGAGAGGTGGCTGACAGAGCTGAGTGGCACATCTGCGCGTGCTACACACGGTCTTAGCTCCCATGCGCACACACCAGGATTCTGCATAGGAGTTAGACTGCCCAGATCTCAAATGTAGCCGAGGAGCCGCATGGAGTGGCCGAAGAACACACTTCTCACTTACGACGGATGTGCCCGCGTCGTGTGATGCTGCAGATGATCACGAGTGGTGAACGTGTTGATGGGGAAATGTGTGGTGGTGAGGTCGAGTCTGAGGCGGTTGACCGCAGATTTTTGTGGAGGCATGTGACCGAGTAGATTCATGCGGTGGCTGAATGTGCATGGGCAATGCGAGTAGTTGGGGCGATGGCGGCGGCTGCATTTTGGTGCTCCAGGCACTGGTCTCCCAGCCCCTGTGTGATTGCATCGCAAGTGATCGATCTAGCCGAATCGTGAATGTGCGGTCGCAATGAGAACAGGTTGAGACGCTGTCCACACCGCTGCTGGTGGGGACGATAGTGAGAGTAGTGATTGACGAGGCATTGGGAATGTTCTCACTGATGGCGAGTTAGAAAACCGGTAGTCATCGCCATCGTCGCGGTAGTCGAGGCAGGGCATCGGGAGTGATCATTGGCGGTAAGGGGGGTCGTCGCACGCGTTTACGGTTGATGCATGGGGTGATGATGGGGATGGTTGTGGAGTCAGCAGTCGAGGTTGTTGGTTTGCTGTTGCAATGGACTTTGAGGTGTCCTACGAGGCCTATTCGGCGCAAAAAGTGCTTTGGCAGTGTGGGCATGTTGGACGAGGTTGGGGTTGGCGTTGTAGGTAGGGTCGCTTGAGGCTTGTGCGCCACTCTTTCGGCTTTGGCAGCGGTTGCCCAGTTGGCTTCATAGAGTACTGTTGCAATCTTAATTGTTCTCTACGCCTGTCGGTCCTGTGCGCGGTTTTCAGGTTGATTTATAAACGCCTTAATAAATTCTTTACGAAGTCCTTGTAGCGGCATGTTTGACTTCCTTATTGGTGAGCACTCGTAGCGACATCTTCGTAGAAGAGTTGTTCGGGTAGTCGTTCATCGTCCATTCTCGTTGGGTTGGTGCTCCATCACAGTTGCAGTTGCTGAGGATTCCTGTCCATCCAAAACTTCCATGCCCAGGATCCTGTCCTGCCACCTCAGCTTTAGGATTCATTGAAGACAGCTGGTATTGAAGTGATTGGGTTTCCGCGTTTGTCTCTTGTATATTGTCCAGGTATTCGCTTCATAAAGCAGCTTCGTAACAACAGAAACGATTAGTGTCTTAATTTAACTTGTCTCAGTAACCTTGGGCTTGAATCTACTCGAGTTGCAGTACTGATTATTTTCAGGAAGTATGCCTCTGGTGTAGACTTATAAGGCTAAGGGTCGGAGTCGGCCAAGAACAGCTGGAAAGACCCATTATGTACCTGTGTACCAACAGTGCTAAATCTGCTCGTTACGAAAGACCTTCATAGGAGGCGAATCAGATCAGTAGCCAAGTTGTCTTTTGATGACGATTCTGGGAGTTTAGAGTTTAAAATGCTTTCTCCAATTCGAAGAATCAAAACGCAGCAAAAAGTCCCACGACATCCTCATTGCGGGTAAAACGAAGTCCGACAAGGAGGAAAACGATACCAAATGGGGAAAGAACACAAATCTGGGGACTGACAGGTGTCAGGCTTCAGGATGTACGACAGAACGTCATGAATTTGAAAGGAACTTTCGAGTACTATTGCGGTGATCATCAGAAGGAATCTAAAGTGCCTGCTTATCCACATGTAGATTCAAATGTTCTTTTGACAAAAAAACCCCGAGGTGCTGCGTTCACGAAATTTTCGTGGCCAAAGGTATGGGTGACCACATAATGAAGTCGATTTTTAGTAGGCGCCAAATTCGGAAGTATTTTAGTGCCAATCAGATAAACATAACTTGATCCAATAGCAGCTTTAACTGCTCTACCTTCCTGGATTTGAAAAACATCTATACACAGTCATGTTTTGTCGCCAAATGCGAAGCTAAGCTAACTTTTGGCAGATGAGCAAAACTAATTTTCCTGGCTATAACATGCACCTCTAAAAGACCATGTGGCCCTCATATTCTGACATTTAATTAATATTAATGCGATTGAAGAAGGGATTCAGCCTACGGTTGTTTAGGAAGAGAGTTAAGTTTTAATTTTAAAGAAGATAAAGGAACAGGCCAGAAAAATAGAGGTGCTTTCGCATAATGTTTCAAAGGAACTGACTAATGAGATAAAGCCTCCGTTGTCTGCGAGATACAGACACAGTGCCAATCAGAATTGTTTAAGGCGTCTCCCAACCACTCACGCGTACCTTCATAATCCGCGTCCGTAGGTAATCTTTGAGCATGAAACGTAGGCGGTCGACCTGTAGTGTAGCATGAAAGAGTCGAGCTGTAATACGTGAAACTGTGAAGGCGTGTTGAGTAATTTGACCCACTTGATGACTTAGTGAATGTCAAGAAGTACCTGCATCAAGATTAGTTGAGACTTTATGTCACCCTTAGGGAATATTTTCGCGCGGATCTCCAGACGTTCGAGCTCTTCTTGAACAAGACCAACCAACTGAGGACGGGCGACAAGCAGTTCTGGAGCCAACTTCTCGTTCTGCCAGGCCTAAGAATGGTGGAGAGAATGATTTTAGTGAGCTTCCAAAATACACACGAGATGGAGGGGTAAGGAGCCGCAGAGATGACGTACAAAACGGAGTCGCTTCACGAGCTCTGGTGCTGTTAGTTCCTCATGACCTTCGGGTCCCGAATCATTTTCTTCATCTGACCCTCCGATAATCTCATCTAAATCCGGTGCCGATGGAAGATCAGGAAAGAGCGCCTGAGAAAATAAATGATGAAGCCGGTTAGTTGGCCTCATACAAAGGTGGAGTCTGTATATCAACAAAAAATACGAAATGCAAAGGAAGCAATAGGAAAAGGCAGCGGAAATTTATCGCATGAAAGTTTGAAAATAAACTGAAACCTGCTTGCGAATGGAATGGGCATGTATGGCTCTGCTCGAAAACGACTCCGTGGTATCACTTATTGAGTATGGACACTAAGGACACGCTGTTAGGGTTGGTGCTCTGTTTTCTCATAGGAAATTAGAATCACAAAAGTTTCTCGAAAATGATAAGTAGACAAGTATCTAGTGACAGAGGCATATGACAGAGAAGCAAGCGGTGCAGGCACAAAAGTAGAGTACTTAGTCGTAAAAAAATAGTTTATTTAACAAATAAATGCAATGATTGAGGTACGCATATGGCAGCGTGGACATGGGACCGATCTTGTCATTGTGAACGGAAAATATAAGTGTGGGAAATGACGTACCTACAGTTCGGTCAAATTAAAGAGGAAAGTTGAAGCAGAAGAGAGCTGCCACCAAAGACTGGTGATGGAAAGTTATGAGCCAGACTGTGCGTGAAAAGGGGTCACAGGAACTATCCGGAGTTAGGTCGACATTAAGCTAGCTGTCGATTGGAGTTGGATTTCAGAACCCCTGAAAGAGGAGTGAAGGAGGGAGAGGAATAGAAATAAAAGACGGATTGAAGACGATAAACATACCAGGAATGCAGCAAAACTACATTTGTTCACCAAAAGGCAAATGTTCGGAACGTAAAACAGTCGAGCAACAAAAGCCGAGGCGACCCTTGTACCGGAAAGACTGCCTCAATGCACATGGAAATGTTGCCAAAACTGCTCTTCTGTATTTACAGACCAAATCAGATACCAGCAGGACTTAGATGCAGGCCCGTAGATGGAGATGTAAAGGGGCGCCTGAGTCTGAGGGAGATGAATCCAAGTGAGTACTGAGGACCAAATATTACAGATTGCGATTTCATTGAACGCACTGAAGTTTCGGGAATGAATTTCTAGATGACTGTCCTCGTACTAGTAACAAACAAGTGGGCTAGATGGCGTAGTACCCAAGGACACCTCCAAATCTATGATCTCCTGTCATAAACACACATTAAGTGATCAACTTCGGGTGCTTCCTCACAGGAGTAAAAAACCACGGAAACGAGTTCAAGCCAAAATAAGTAGCGCCTAGGTAACAGGATAGAGGACGCTCCCCATGTTCAATATTAGACTAAAGGCCCCTTTACAACAAGCCGTGGTGATTAACTTGTTATCTGTAAATATGCGGTCGCCCAGGGGAACACTAATTCCTCTATCCCACGGTCACCAATGGTCTACAGGTGAGAAAAAATGTTGATGAGATTCAAACAACTGTCAGATTTTGATAGAGGAAGTAGGCTCCCCTGAGAATGTGGTTTCTGACAAGACGTTGGATGCTAAAATTGCCACATAAGTAACAAACAAATGATGAAACCCAATTCGTAAAATAAATGGAACTTCACCGTGATCCGAGGGTGCAGTTCGAAGCACTTGGGGCAGAAGTCAAGGCAACCGTCTTGGGTAAGATGGGTTGCAGCGGCAATCGTTTAGTCAGAGGTCGCAAAGTAGGACGTCCACAGCGCTTCGAGGGTGGTTTATGAGCACTTTTCCCGCTACTTCCTACAAAGAGAGGATATGAGCATAGACTATATATGAACACGAGTAAATCGGCTTTAAGACCTCTCAAAGGTTGAAGTCGGAAGTAACACACCAAATTATGGACCGTTAATGAGGTTTGACCAGCGGCAAGCTTTTTCATTTCTCAGCGGCATTCAAGAAATTGGACCATATTAAAAGTAACGCACGACAAACAATTTATAGCTTTCGCTTTGCACGCCCACTGGGCTATATATGTTAGACGGGGGACTTTGCGACAGGTCAGCCATCCCGCCCAACCATCCCTAGTGGATTTCACTCAGACTTGCAATCAGTATGTGTAGAAAAGTGTGAGCCCACAAACAACAAAACGAGCTAAAAGTTGCGGTTTAGAGGATTACAGGATTACTCCGCCTCCCGAACTATGAACTAGACGTCAATGGAGCTGTCTTAACGTGGCCCTTATAACAACCCTTTCGATGAGGGATCGGAGACTCTCCTCCTTGAAGTCTGACTTGTAGGTATGCAGGAACCAGCACATGTGCAGAAGGCTAAGTTCACGTACCAGCCACTACAACTTCCTTCGAACGATGGTAGTATTAGCTGAGTAGTCGATTTTTATAAAAAGAGACAGTACAGTGGTGAATACCCAAATTAAAGAATAAGCCATGAGGCCAGGGACTACTGCAAATGAGGAATCTTACTAGGTTTTCAGCAAGAAGTGCATAAGTTTAAGCCCTAAAGAAGTCGCACGTCTGCAGCATTCACTGCGACAACTCCGATACGCAACCCTATGGAGGCATGTTCAAACGAAACGGAGAGATAGCGCATATGGGGGAACCACAAAACGTGGGGGTGTGTTTATTTATACCCAGATGGTTGTAGAAACTGCGTCTCGAGTAGAGTACGGTGTCACAAAAAGGACAGACAAGGAGCGGTAAGCAGATGTGTGCGGCCAAGTGGTCTCTTAACTTCCTTCGGCAGGGCATTTTGAGGGGACAGAGCTCCAATGGAAAGGATGGTAACTGCCATTGACAAGTCAGGGGAGAGTCCTCTCGAAAGGCATTGCCAGAATTTTGTTTTCCTGTTTTGAGGTCGGAATCTGCGTGGGTTTTCACGTGTGAACGGAAGAGATAGGCACACTCCGAACTAAAGAAATAGGAAGGATAAACAACTAGACCAAAGATGGAAACAACAAGCGCTGGATTCGATGCATGTTACTTTTTATTGGTTCAGGACAATTACACTTATCAAAGGGTCCGCTTACCTGAACAACACGGCTCGAAATTGACAGTAGGCAGGTACACCGTAGACTGGAAAGTGGTACCGACAAACCAAATGAGACTGAAATGCCAATTTTTTTCTTATTTGCTGTCAATCGTTTTCAGGTCTCCCTGTATTGTGTATGGGACACAGCTGGCTGATGACGGTTGGTAAGTGAGAAATGGATATTCTAATATCTATCGTTTAGTCGGCAACGCCCCTGGATTGCTCATTTTCTGCGTGATTGCCTGCGAGAGCTGAAGACCGGAGCTCAAAACAAAGGGGAACGGCCCTATTACGTCCTGAAACCAGGACAGATTGGCAGATGTCATTCCCAGTAAAAATGTATGCCTGGACAGGGGACTTCATAGTGTCACGTGTGACTTAAAGTAAAAACTGGAGCCAACATGACCAATCCTCCAGGTTCTCTAAAAGAGCTCGAGTTTACATCGCAGATGCTAGCGCTAACACTAAGATACATCTGAAATATCAGCATCAAGGCAAATGGCGAGAGCTATTTTCTTCAGGCGATTTTGGGTACTGGATTAAAACGGGTCCGATGGCGGACCTTCTAGACTTTATCTACAACTGCCATAGGAGCGTATGCGGTCGTGCAGTTCAGAAGATGGGAAGACTAGGTATCGCCACACAATTGCTTTCAGCATTAATAATGATTACTTTGCAGTTATTCAAACCCACATCAGCAACGAAAGTGGGTGGGGTTGTGCTTCTCCAGTCAGTACTTATCTTCGGACACAACGGTTGGCCATGGTAACCCCACAACATCACGGCCAGCAAGCGCATAGGAAAAATGACTATCGGTAGTAGCCGTTGGACAAGAAGCATTGAATGTAGACATGCTAGACAGACACACAAGACTACACAGCGGCATGGTTTTCGGGAGGCATGTATCATATATTAGCTTTAAATATAGTCAAAGGGTTGGAGACGCGGTTATACTCATTAGATTGTAACAAAAATGCCCAAAGTAATGTACTTTCGGCATAAACGTTCGTGCTTTGCTCTACCAACTTCGGTTGTCCAAGTTGCACCTCAAGAAAATATGAACTTTTCCCTTTTTGGGGCGCAAAAGTCGCAAACTTTTGACCTGGTGGAACATTAAGACTGCACAAATCCGATAGCACGCCTTCGTTTTTTGCCAGTTAGCAAGAATTCTAAGGGGGCGCCAACAACCGCGCTGCACTAATATATCAAGACCTTGGCTTTAAAGAGAAATGTAAGAGGAATACAACTGGGGCCGACTTACACCACATTGCAGTCGTTCCACATGCACCTGAAGCCATATCCAATAACGTCAGATGTTGGGGCAAGTTCGCCAGTAAACCAATTGTCCCTTGGGGGCCTCCGACACGGCTCCTTTCCAAATGCCTCGGTTTTAGCCAGTTCATGGATTAAGTTTACAGCAAACTGTCGACAGGATTCCGCAAAAACATGTAACAAAACGTGGCGCCGCTTCTGGGTGTACGAAAGGCCGGAGAGTTCAGGGAAAGGGCAATGCTGCCAGAAACAGAATTCTGAGTTTGTTTCCGAGAGATGGTTCAGCACATGGAGGTGCAAATGCTCATATGACAGAAAGTCACTATCACATGGCAACCAAAAACAGCAGAATGCCTCCTTGGTGCTAAGCACGTGCCCAGTCGATCTTTTCCCCGTCATTTTTAAGTGGTCCCGAAGAGAAATAACCTCAGAAAAGAAAGTTTGACAGACGGGACACATGAGGCTGCCTAGGCCGATGTGTGTAAGGAGATGTGACAACATAGGAGACTTCAAGTTTTGACAGTTTTCGTCCGCACGAGACCAAAAGCAACGAGTTGGATGACTTCGGGCATGCTTAGCCAGGTGCCTCTCAAAGTCGATAAAAGACTCGCTCTGGAAAGTGCAGTCCCGCCACAGGCATGTTAAATTTACCAGTATATGTATGGGTCTTCGGCGGACTGAGGTGCATTTGGATGTCTCAAGTGAGAACTCCTTTTCGACTTCTCTCAAGACGTTTAGGGAGTGCTCGCTCAAATACTCCGTGTAGACATGAAAACGCAAATGCCTAATAAATGCCGGCAAACGAACGTCGAACGAGGGAGGCGGATATTCACACCCAGCCCACTGACATTTGCGCCTAACACCAGATGGAAGGTGTGGGTCTATGTGGTCTATCACATGCTCGTCAAGGAGGTCAGCATCAGAAAAATTCAATCCGCAACTAGACCACCGGCAGAACAGATTGGAATTCATTCAACCCTAGAGCAACATACTAAAACAGATAAAACCAAAGAGGATTTAATTAGAGGTTTCATTTAACCAAATAAGATACTTATGGCCTGCAATTGAACATCAGGAGTGGGCGATGTTCCCTACCATACTTTGTATTTTACAGACATTAATGTTAACAAACACAATGCGATTTGAAGCATTTTAGTTCTAATAGAGCTCAGACAGGCAAACTGGCTCAGGGTATAGGTGTACGCGCACAAATGTTAGCAGCAGGCCATCGCGCGTTAGGCACGGGTCTGACAGGACTGTTTTGATACAGGCAAAGATGAGAGTTCCAAGAAACAGTTGTGAGGTAATATCACTGGAACAAAAGCTTCGTTCGCTACCGTTTCAAATCCACACTCAAATCCATCGTCAGATACGACATCTGAAGGTACACTCGAGTGTGGGTTGGAAGCGTCAGATCCAGCGATGGCGTCTCCTCCCCAAGACCGTTGCTATTTCTCATTTAACTAAAGGATCCGACAAAAACAGGTTAAATCAATAAATTGTTTCCTTATAGCGCGAAGATTAGGCGCCCGCTTTAAACTGTCATTATAAACAGGACTCGTTTTGAGTCGTCACTCGGCTCTCCCAGCGACACCTAGGTGTAAACGAAAAGAAATCAAAAATCCTCCAAACGCAACAGGATTGATGAAGTAGACCTTTTCAGTGGTACCCCGCACGTTACTTCCGCGAACAAGCTTAAAACGTCTACGGATCGTGTAGAAATTCACAAGCCAGGATGGCGACATCTGGACAGGGACGCATTTGCTGGGGCGGATTCAATGATGAAGCAGCCGCCGTCACCACAAGCTAGTAATTTAAGTCATCTAGACTGCATGTTTGCAAATAACCAACTAGGAGGACAGGTCTGAATTGTGCATACGTCGCTGTGCTTTTTTACAAGATTTATTTCGAAAACCGCGATTCGTTGTTCCTATATACCATTTTATGCATTCGGGTGTCCGCATAAAAAACAAAGGACAGTGAAGTAACCATACTCTCACTCTTGAACATGCTTTGTGCAAATGACTGAGATCTTGCTAGTGTATCTAATGTCGACTTCGAAAAGTTACTTGCCGCTACCTACTTGGCTGGTTTCGTTGCTGCAGCAGTGACTGCTTCTGCGTTTTTTATCAAGCTAGACGATAAATATATTTTCCTTAAATATGAAGCTACTGAGTCCTCTATATTGCTTGGCATGACACCAACTTGAATAATACACCCAAAATCAAACCAGTCAATTAGGGGAAAAACTTAGCTTAGGCATGGTTCATTGGTAGCATCAAATAAAATATATCGGTTCTTGCCATATCCTAGGACCGTTTATGCAACGTCATAAAGAATAATTGTCCGTTGGCGCGGAGTCATGTTAGCATTTGTCAAATACAAATACATTTTGCCTATATTTAAAAATAGGCAAAATGTGGCCTAAGCATTTTCGCCGATTACTATTTGGGGTACATGTCATAAGACTTAAGCCTATTAAATCGACTTAGTTCTAAGACACGGACATAAAGTCAGATATGCAATAAGCCGTCGAGGGGCGACCACATAATGACTAGTGCACAAATACGCCGGCAACGACAAGTGCGCAAGAGGCGACAAAATTCGAAATGCCGGCAGCTTAATTCACTTAAAGAAACACAGACACTGAACAAGGTGGAAGAAATTTTAGTTCATTACAGTTTAATGATGTAATAATAGGCGCCAACAGCTAATTTATCCGCGTGCAAAGTAAACCAAGGAAAATGTACAGAAAAAAGTTATGTGATGGAATTATTCAGAGGGGTGCCAAAAACAACCAGATGATCGCTGTGTTCAAACAGTTTTCTTCCAATGCTTTACTCATACACGCACCCAGGGATCGAACGTTCGTCTACATTTTTTGAAAAATCGGGCACGTTGCGATGTTAAAAACTCCCGGCTTAAAGTTATTTCTAACAGAGGAGGCGACAACGAACAATAAACTAGGTAGTTCACGCAAATGCACCCATGGCCGGCTGACGTCAGGATGTCTAAGCTACTAGGCTGCCGTGTACATGAAAACGGTTGGAGAATCTTCGAGACCGTCTATCATACATATTTAAAAGGCCATGATCGGTCACTGTCACTGGCGCCTGTAGGAATACACAACTATGACCAAGCAAAACAGAAGGTGTTGTGTCTTCACTCTCTGGGATCCCATCCTCACTACGTGCATCACTATCTCGAATCAGAGACCCCCTCCCCCAAAGAGCAACAAACGAATGTAATTTATCGCATTTCGTGCGCAAAGTTCTCTTGCGTCTATCTTGGTCATGCAGGTCGATGCCTGTGCACACGTATCAATGAACACAAACTGCCTGTCCGTCGGCGAGACCCCCTGTCCCTCGTCTTTACTCACGCACTCGAGTTTGACCACTGATTTAATTGGGATGCACTAAGGTTATCGCCATGGCTAACACAAAACGGTCAAGAGAATTTCTCGAGGCTTGGTACTCCAAAGCTGATAGTATCAACAGCCGTGTTGACCTGGACGCTCATTAAGATGGCCTACGCTCACGACTCTCCGCCCCCTGTCCTAATGCCACATCAACGGCCGCTAATCCAGCCACCCAGAGTCCACTTGATCCACCACCCAACCCAAAGTGTGGATCACTTGAGATTCGAACCCGGGATCTTTGGTCATGGAGTTTGACGCTCTACCATTGAGCCACGGGCCCGTTGTCATGTCGGTAGAGCGTCAAACTCCATGACCAAAGATCCCGGGTTCGAATCTCAAGTGATCCACACTTGGGGTTGGGCATGACTGGCTGACGACGGCTAATAAGTCAGAAATGGCCATTCCAGTCTCCCTTGTCTTTGTCGGTAATAGTATTCTGCCTATATATCATGCGCCGCTGTGCGGCTGCTGGTTGGGCTCGAGAGAGAGCCCTTAAGGCACAACGGAACGAGTGAGTTCCGTATGAACGATCGGTGAGCGCCCCCTAACATTGTATATTCCCGATCGAAAAACCGACAGGGCAACGGGCTCGTGGCCCGGTGAGTAGAGGCGTTGAATTCTAAACCAACAGGTCGCGATTTCCAGGCTCGGGTGTTCCACACTTCGGGCTTGGGTATTGCTGGCTGACGACGGCTAATAAGCCAGAAATGGCCATTCCAGTCTCCCTTGTCTTTGTCCGTAATATCATTCTGCCTATATATCATGCGCCGCTGTGCGGCTGCTGGTTGGGCTCGAGAGAGAGCCCTTAAGGCACAACGGAACGAGTGAGTTCCGTATGAACGATCGGTGAGCGCCCCCCCCCCTAACATAATATATATAAGGCCTGTGACGTACTGATGATCGGTAACGACCGTGAAACAGCTGTTTGCGTCTGGCCTGTTGCACTCTTAGCGAGCTGCTCATGTATTATATGTGGTATGTGTCCTCTGACACAGCGTTCATTGTCGCCAGTAGCAAGCTGGCGGGCGGACAGAATGGGATCGAGTGAGATCCTAACCACAACAGTGAGGGTCAAACGCCCACTTGACTCGGCCGAGCGGAAAACAGACTGGCGCGAGAAATAATCGAGGCCTGGCAAACAGACTGCAACTCCATCAACCGCTGCGTCGAACTACCGGCACCATACGAGGCCGCCAAACACCACCTACGCACCAGGGGAGGCCCAATGAGGATAGAAGTTGACGGCCCTATCAGGCGAGAGCGAGAGGGACCTATTTAAACCGTGTAATTTTCTAATATTTCCTATCTCCGATGATGCGCTCGAGTATGAGTGTGAAACGTCAGATGAATAAATCATCATCCCCAGAGCTCGCCTTACCATCTTCTTCAATATATATATATATATATATATATATATATATATATATATATATATATAATGGTAGGGGGCTCTTACCGATCGTTCTTACGGAACTCACTCGTTCCGTTGTGCCTTAAGGGCGCTCTCTCGAGCCCAACCAGCAGCCGCACAGCGGCGCATGATACATAGGCATAATGGCATTACCGACAAAGACTAGGGAGACTGGAATGGCTA